ATTGTATACACCCCCTACCCGATACATTGTATACACACCCCCCCGACACATTGCATACACCCCCCCGATACATTGCATACACCCCCCCCCCGATACATTGTATACACCCCCCCCCCCGACACATTGTATACCCCCCCGACACATTGTATACACCCCCTACCCGATACATTGTATACACCCCCCCAGACACATTGTATACACCCCCCCAGACACATTGTATACACCCCCCCGACACATTGTATACACCCCCCCGACACATTGTATACACCCCCCCGACACATTGTATACACCCCCCCGACACATTGTATACACCCCCCCGACACATTTTATACACCCCCCGATACATTTTATACACCCCCCCGGTACATTTTATACACCCACCCCCCCCGACACATTCTATACACCCCCCCGATACATTGTATACACCCCCTACCCGACACATTGTATACACCCCCCCCCCCCGACACATTGTATACACCCCCCCGACACATTGTATACACCCCCCCGACACATTGTATACACTCCCCCCCCCCCCCCCCCCCCCGACGACACATTGTATACACCTCCCCCGACACATTGTATACACCCCCCCCCCGACACATTGTATACACCCCCCCCGACACATTGTATACACCCCCCCGACACATTGTATACACCCCCCCCGACACATTGTATACAGTATTATTTATCATTATTTATTACAATTATTATTTTTATTATTAGTTATTTATTTATTGTTTTTATTATTATTATTATATCAGTTTCTAGTAATCCGGTATATTGTGTATCTCCCGAGTATATGATGTATCTCCCCGGTATATGATGTATCTCCCCGGTATATGATGTATCTCCCCGGTATATGATGTATCTCCCCGGTATATGATGTATCTCCCCGGTATATGATGTATCTCCCCGGTATATGATGTATCTCCCCGGTATATGATGTATCTCCCGGGTCCTTTTGATCCTTTTCTGAAGCAGACCCTCTTTGTTCTGTATTGTAAGCCCAGATATCGTACATCCCGAGTCCTGTCTGTGATCTTTCCTATCTCTGATCGTTCATGCTCACTCCGGTGCGAATGTCAGATATGTTCTATTTTGCTCTGTGTTTGCTCAGTACAATCCTGAGGTTTCTCTGGGAGTGTTTGGTATGCATACCTGGGTGTAGAGGGAACAATGGATACTGATGGATGGAGTCTAGATCACTGTATATCCTTCATGATACCCTCTAAACCTGTAGATTGCATACCAAACACTCCCAGAAAAGAAGACAAAACCTGAGATTTCTGTATGTGTGAGCAAACACCAGGTAGACTCCCACTGCAAATATTCGGAGAAATCGTGAAATCATACAAGCTGTGATGGGGGGGGGGGGGGCGTATTGTTGAATATATCCTTTCTCTGGCATGCTGTTCATAGGTCACATGCGTCGTGTCGGAAAGGTTAGATTGTGAGGTTTTCTTTAGGCATTTGTCATTTTGCAGCGGCGATGGATTTTTCGATGAGAGGAAATCTTCAAAGGCCGCGCGCCGTCCCCGTGGGAGGGGTGTGATGTCATCGCAGGGTAATGGCAGAGATTACATAGTAATGACCAAACACAAAAGTATGGCACTCAGGTTGAAATGGCATATTTGCTCAGAACAGATTTATGTCCCGGATGTTTGGAATGTTTGTAATAATTAGGGAAGGAAAATGGACTTTTATGAGCTTTGGAAGTGAGTTATCGGTGTGAAATCTCAGCCGGTGTAAGAGATCGTTCACACGGATGTATGGCGGGTGCAGGGTCCTGCGTAAACATTGTCCGTGTGCTGTATGCCCGTGTGCTGTATGTCCGTGTGCTGTATGTCCGTGTGCTGTATGCCCGTGTGCTGTATGTCCGTGTGCTGTATGTCCGTGTGCTGTATGTCCGTGTGCTGTATGTCCGTGTGCTGTATGTCCGTGTGCTGTATGTCCGTGTGCTGTATGTCCGTGTGCTGTATGTATGGCAGGTTTGTATGTTTAGTTGCGGTGTTACTTTAGGGAAATCATAGATGCCCACAAGGGACAGATTTGAGGGTGTTTGACACAACTACTGCTAGACATAGACGAGGCAAATTTCAGCATCCATCATAGAGGTTTACTCATGGCCTTCCCACCGGGACTGTCATCAGAGGAACGACATCGGGGTGTCATATCTCAGGGTAACACAAGAAATTATATAGGGGGTGTCATATCTCAGGGTAATATCAGAAACAACATAGGGGGGTGTCATATCTCAGGGTAACACAAGAAATGATATAGGGGGTGTCATACCCCAGGATAATATCAGAAACAACATAGGGGGTGTCATACTCCAGGGTAACACAAACAATATAGGGGTGTCATACCCCAGGGGAACGCAAGAAACAATATAGGGGTGTCATAGCCCAGGGAAACGCAAGAAACAACATAGGGGGTGTCATACCCCAGGGTAACACAAACAATATAGGGGTGTCATACTCCAGGGTAGCACAAGAAATGATATAAGGGGTGTCATACCCCAGGGGAACACAAGAAAAAACATAGGAGGTGTCCTATCTCAGGGTAACACATGAAACAACATAGGGGGTGTCATACCCCAGGGTAACACAAGAAATGATATAGAGGGTGTCACACCCCAGGGGAACACAAGATATAGGGGGTGTCATACCCCAGGGTAATATCAGAAATAACATAGGGGGTGTCCTATCTCAGGGTAACACAATAAACAATATAGGGGGTGTCATACCCCAGGGGAACACAAAAGACAAAAAAAGTGCGGCAATGGCGGTTATGAGGTTTGACGTTTTTTCTTCCTTTGAATATGTGACATCGATTCCATGTGCCGGCCGAATGGGTTGTCTTCTTGCCTTATAGCTCGGGTGTATGGGTATGATTTCCCAGGAGACTTTCACCCCCCTTAGGGTCTGGACGCTTTCCCCCCCTTCCAGTCTGGACGCTTTCCCCCCCTTCCAGTCTGGACGCTTTCCCCCCCTTCCAGTCTGGACGCTTTCCCCCCCTTCCAGTCTGGACGCTTTCCCCCCCTTCCAGTCTGGACGCTTTCCCCCCCCTTCCAGTCTGGACGCTTTCCCCCCCTTCCAGTCTGGACGCTTTCCCCCCCTTCCAGTCCGGACGCTTTCCCCCCCTTCCAGTCTGGACGCTTTCCCCCCCTTCCAGTCTGGACGCTTTCCCCCCCTTCCAGTCTGGACGCTTTCCCCCCCTTCCAGTCTGGACGCTTTCCCCCCCTTCCAGTCTGGACACTTTCCCCCCCTTCCCCCAGTCTGGACGCTTTTCCCCCCCCCCCTTCCAGTCTGGACGCTTTCCCCCCCTTCCAGTCTGGACGCTTTCCCCCCCTTCCAGTCTGGACGCTTTCCCCCCCTTCCAGTCTGGACGCTTTCCCCCCCTTCCAGTCTGGACGCTTTCCCCCCCTTCCAGTCTGGACGCTTTCCCCCCCCCCTTCCAGTCTGGACGCTTTCCCCCCCCTTCCAGTCTGGACGCTTTCCCCCCCCCTTCCAGTCTGGACGCTTTTTCCCCCCCCTTCCGGTCTGGAAGCTTTCCCCCCCTTCCAGTCTGGACGCTTTCCCCCCCTTCCAGTCTGGACGCTTTTCCATGGACCCCCCCCCTTCCGGTCTGGAAGCTTTCCCCCCCTTCCAGTCTGGACGCTTTCACCCCCTTCCAGTCCGGATGCCCCCCCCCCCCCCCCCCTTCATGTCCAGGCCAATTTTCATCTTTCAGCTCTTTGAACAACAATTGCGCGGTCATGCAACACTGTACCCGTATGACATTTTTTTAGCATTTTTTTGAGACAGATAAAGCTTTATTTTGGTGGTATTTATTCACCGCTGGGATTTTTATTTTTTTTGCTATGTAAATGAAAAAGTCCAAAAATTTTGAAAAAAAGTGTTTTTCTTATAAAATTTTGCAAATAAATAATATTTCATCATAAATCTTGGCCAAAATTTATTCCGTTATCTTTTCAGTAAAAAAAAAAAAAAAAAAATAACCCAAATTAGTATATAACCAAAAAAATTTATAATTTTTAAACAGTTTTTTTTTACATTTTTGTTTTATTGTTTTATATTTTATTTTTTTTTTAACATACTGTCACCCTAGCAGTACAGTGTCACCATGGTGGCACTGTACTACTTGGGGGGGGGGGGGGGGGGGTGATGCAGATTTTTTTTTTTTTTTTTTTTTTTTTTTACACTGATTGCTTTTACACCCATAAAGGCTATACAAGCACTCATTTCTTGCATTCTTGCAGCCATTGAGACATACCGTGAGAGCTGTGATTGGTCACAGCTTGTCACATGGTACAAGGCTGTTGTGAATGGCCCTGTACCATGTGATCTCTGTGATCATTCACAGATTTCACACGTAGTAAATTGATGTCAGAAGTGACATCTTGCTTACTACTCTTCATGTGATCACTGATTGGCCAATCAGTGATCACATTTATTATTATTATTATACAGTATTTATAAAGCGCCAATAGTTCGCTCAGCGCTGTACATTACAAAGGGAGACAGAACATGTGACAGAACAATACCAATACAATGCAAAGCATGAGGGGATCGAGGGCCCTGCTCTTTCGAGCTTACAATCTAGGACAGTGGTTCTCAACCTTCCTAATGCCACGACCCTTTAATACAGTTCCTCATGTTGTGGTGACCCCCCCCAACCATAAAATTATTTACCCAGTAATTATAATTCATGAGTGTCGTTTTACCTCCAATACTGCTGCTTTCTACACAGTAGCTGCTTTTCAAGTAGCTGCTTTCACAGTAGCTGCTTTCAACACAGTAGCTGCTTTCTACACAGTAGCTGCTTTCAACACAGTAGCTGCTTTCAACACAGTAGCTGCTCTTTACACATCGGAAATGTGTTTTCTGATGGTCTTAGGGGACCCCTGTGAAAGGGTCGTTCGACCCCCAAAGGGGTCGCGACCCACAGGTTGAGAACCACTGATCTAGGAGATCACATGATCGGGACCTCGTACAGAGGTCCCGTCCGACGATCGGTGTTCCACTGTGTCCGGAGGACACAGCGGGCACCGGATCGCGGTGCTGACCGTGCCCAGGGAGTGTGCACAAGTAGGGGGTGGGGAGGCCGTTTATAAACTGCCACCTGACCCTGCACTGCCACCGTCTGGCCGTTTATATACAACGGCCGGATGGGAGGTGGTTAAGGAAACAGCCGGGTTGTCTTTGTTTTGCTGCGGCCCTTAAGTAAGAGTGTGTTCCAGATGAACGGATGGAAGGTCCTGAGGAGGTGAACCAATCAGTCTTTGCGCCTTGCGTAGACCGGTGTGATCGATGTGCCATCAGCTATGTGTTTTTATTATAGAATCCGGTAGACAGACTACTATGGATATCCTGTGCTATGATCTGTTTTATGTTTTTGTTATTATTTGGATCTTCGTATTCTATTAAGCGACATGATATCCGATTCGCACCTTTTCTTTCTCCCCCGTTCTGTAAAATCTCAGCTTCTGTTCCTCCGTAGCGCAGATGCCGTGTGGGCGGGGAGGATTCTTGCTTCAAACTTTTCCAAATGCTCGTCCGCGTCCAATTTTTTTTGTTTTATTTTGTTTTCTCCTCTTTGCAGCTTATCGATGATCTCCGGGAGGGGTAGGTGCAGCCCGTCCTGCGTTCCCGGGGTTCAGTGAGTGGCAGCCGGACCGGGAGAGCTGGTTTCCTGCCACGCACAGAAGCTGCAGCCCGCTCATGCATTTTTTAGCTGGCCTTCAATCAGTTCGGCTCTTTGCGCTCCCCCGTCCAAATTGGTTGCACGCTGAATTTTTTAGGGGCCTTGTAATGGGGAAGTTTTAGCTCGGCGGAATCTGTTCGCTCAGCAAAAAAATAAAATGAAAAAGGATGTACGGATTATGCAGATTTTTTTTTTTTTTTTCTTTACGGGGTAACTTTGCAGCAGTGTGCCAGAGCTGGGCCTCTGATGGTCACCGCAGACAGCTGCTTAGGCCCCATTCACAGGGCGCAGTCTGCATGCTCAGCGGGGGATCTGTCTGCGGGTACAAGTGCACCGTACAGAACACACATACCGGGAATAGGAAATGTTGGGGGTATTTATTCTGTAAGGTTGAAGTGTAAAGAGGTGTCACAAGAACAGGAATGGAGATCTTCCTATTGGGATACTTGTTGCAGTGATGTCTGTCAAAGAAGGGAATTTTCTTCACTTTAGAACAGTGGATGCCAAACTGCCGCTCAGGGGCCAGATGTGGGCCTTTGCATATCTTTATCCGGCCCTTGGGGCACTCTTGTTCCCTCTGATAAAAAAACACATTTCTCCCCACTGACACCAACAGTTGACCATTATTCCTTCCACTGATACCAATGATGGGGCACTATTCCTTCCCTGACACCAATGATGGGGCATTATTCCCCCACTGACACCAATGATGGGGCACTATTCCTCCAACTGACACCAATGATGGGGAACTATTTCTCCCACTGACACCAATAATGGGGCACTATTCTCCTCCCACAATGACATTCCTCCCACTGACATTGGTGGGGCACTATTCCTCCCACTGACACCAATGATGGGGCACTATTCCTCCCACTGACACCAATGATGGGGCACTACTCCCAATTGGGGCACTATTCTCCCACTGACACCAATGATGGGGCACTATTCCTCCCCACACCAATGATGGGGCACTATTCCTCCCACTGACACCAATGATGGGACACTATTCCTCCCAATGATGGGGCACTATTCCTCCCACTGACACCAATGATGGGGCACTATTCCTCCCACTGACACCAATAATGGGGCCCTATTCCTCCCACAGTGATCATACCAATGATGGGGCACCATTCCTCGCACTGACACCTATGATGGGACACTATTCCTCCCACTGACACCTATGATGGGGCACTATTCCTCCCACTGACACCTATGATGGGGCACTATTCCTCCCACTGACACCAATGATGGGGCACTATTCCTCCCACTGATACCAATGATGGGGCACTATTCCTCCCACTGACACCAATGATGGGGCACTATTCCTCCCACTGACACCAATAATGGAGCCCTATTCCTCCCACTCATACCAATGATGGGGCACCATTCCTCGACACCAATGATGGGGACATTCCTATGATGATGGGACACTATTCCTCCCACTGATACCAATGATGGGGCACTATTCCTCCCACTGACACCAATGATGGGGCACTATTCCTCCCACTGATACCAATGATGGGGCACTATTCCTCCCACTGACACCAATGATGGGGCACTATTCCTCCCACTGAGACCAATGATGGGCACTATTCCTCCCACTGACACCAATGATGGGGCACTATTCCTCCCACTGACACCAATGATGGGGCACTATTCCTCCCACTGACACCAATGATGGGGCACTATTCCTTCCACTGACATGAGGTATTATTCCTCCCACTGATGATGATGGGGCACTATTCCTCCCACTGATACCAATGATGGGGCACTATTCCTCCCACTGACACCAATGATGGGGCACTATTCCTCCCACTGACACCAATGATGGGGCACTATGCCTCCCACTGACACCAATGATGGGGCACTATTCCTCCACTGACACCAATGATGGGGCACTATTCCTCCCACTGATACCAATGATGGGGCACTATTCCTCCCACTGATACCAATGATGGGGCACTATTCCTCCCACTGACACCAATGATACCAATGGGCACTATTCCTCCCACTGACCAATGATGGGGCACTATTCCTCCCACTGATACCAATGATAGGGCACTATTCCTCCCACCACTGATGGGACACTACCACTGATGGGGCACTATTCCTCCCACTGACACCAATGATGGGGCACTATTCCTCCCACTGACACCAATGATGGGGCACTATGCCGCTGACACCAATGATGGGACACTACCAATGATGGGGCACCATTCCTCCCCCTGATACCAATGATGGAGCACCATTCCTCCCCTGACACCAATGATGAGGCACTATTCTTCCTACTGATACCAATGATGGGGCACTATTCCTTCCACTGATACCAATGATGGGGCACTATTCCTGTGCCCCAATGTTGGTGTCAGTGGAAGCAGAGGGAGCAGATGACAGGTCTGCATAAGTGGAATGGGCACATACACAACCCGCTGTGCCCAATTGGTGATCGGATGTCAGATGGGAGGCTGTAATACCGCAGCTCAACCGCATCTTTTTACAGCCCACTGACCGCAAATATAAACTAGCACTGAAATTGGTAAAAGCCGTGTGCTGTGCAGGGCGATGACCTCATCATCTTCCTGCTGCTCCTTCATTATCCAATCGGTGGGGCAGTCATGGCTTCTTGAGCCACAGCTCCTTCTAGAGGACTGAGCTCCGCTACGTCCCGTTCAGAACACAGGAGGCTGGTGTCAGGCCTGGAATACATCTTGTTCAGCGTGTTCTATCTAGGGTCACCGCGTTTCCTTTACACGTGGGAGCATGCTGAGCGGTAGCAGGAACTTGTTATGAAGTGCGCCGGCTCGCTTTCCATCGCCTCCAGCTAGAATTGTCTGCGAGCCGTTGCTTGTCATACCTCATTCAGCTCTGATTGATTTCCTATCGAGTTGTGGTTGGCTGGTACATTCTCCAGGAAGACGGCCGGGATGCCGGTGTAACTGATGAACTCCTAAACACACTTCAACTTGATGGAGATAAGACCGCGCCATCGATCGCTGGTGTCAGCGGCGCGCTCCGTATGGAACGATCGGCAGCCAATGCAGAATCAACTGTTGATGATCCAGACGTCTTATTAAAGCGGAACTAAACCGTGTCTGAACGCCACAAACTGAAAACCCTTTGTTATATTCAAAGAAACTCATCCATCTCTCCATGCTTTGTTTTGATGAGAGATCACTTTGAACAACCCCCCCCCCCCCCCCCCTTTAGCATTTGTAGCTGCGGCCATCTTGCCTAAGGGCAGATGAATAATGTAGCATTTACAGTGCACTCAGAAAGTATTCAGACCCCCTTCACTTTTTTAAATGTTATGTTACAGTTGTTTAACCTCTTCGCGCCGGCCGCACGCAAATGTGCGGCCTCCCGGTGTCTGGGCCTTGACGCCGAGCGGCCACACATTTGCGTGCAAGTTAAGAAAAACATATGTGCTGAGAGTGCGCACCCTGCGAGCTCCCAGCATATATGTCCGGTACTCACGGAAAGGTCCCAATCTCCTCTTTCGATCGGGACCTTTCCCGATCATGTGACTGCCGTGACAGCGAATCACGGCAGTCACATGCACATTTGCATGCAATTAAGAAAAACATATGTGCTGAGAGTGCATACCCATGTTATCTCCCAGCACACATTTCCGGTACTCATGGAAAGTTCCAGATCTCCTCATTCGATTGGGACCTTTCCCGATCATGTGACTGCCGTGACGGCGAATCACGGCAGTCACATGCACATTTGCATGCAATTAAGAAAAACGTGCTAAGAGTGCGTGCCCTGCGAGCTCCCAGCACACATGTCCGGTACTCACGGAAAGGTCCCAATCTCCTCTTTCGATCAGGACCTTTCCCGATCATGTGAGTGCTGTGATAATGAATCACGGCAGTCACATGCACATTTGCATGCAATTAAGAAAAACGTGCTGAGAGTGCATACCCATGTTATCTCTCTGCACACATGTCCGGTACTCACGGAAAAGTCCCAATCTCTTTCGATCTGGATCTTTCCCGATCATGTGACTGCCGTGGCGGTGAATCACGGCAGTCACATGCACATTTGCATGCAATTAAGAAAAACATATGTGCTGAGAGTGCGTGCCCTGCGAGCTCCCAGCACACGTGTCCGGTACTCACGGAAAGGTCCCAATCTCCTCTTTCGATTGGGACCTTTCCCGATCATGTGACAGCGAATCACGGCAGTCACATGCACATTTGCATGCAATTAAGAAAAAACCTATGTGCTGAGAGTGCATACCCATGTTATCTCCCAGCACACATTTCCTGTACTCACGGAAAGTTCCAGATCTCCTCTTTCGATTGGGACCTTTCCCGATCATGTGACGGTGAATAATGACAGTCACATGTCCCTAAAATCCCGCCCTGCCTCCCAGTTTCTGAAACCCTTAAAGGGCTGGGAGGCGCCAGCGCCAAGGGGTTAAATTATGTCAAG